GATGTCTCATCCGTGTGTGCATGACAGACCCATTCATCAGAGTGGCTTGGCTGGACCTGAGTAACTCTGTATTAGTTTCTGCATAAATGCATTCTTTAACAAGAGCTAGAGGGACCTATCCAACTTCTGTGGTCTATGGCTCACAGAAAGGGATGTGGCCAGTAGCCACTTCTGACTGCCATAGCTAAATTGAACAAATCAGATTTGGGCAGGATCCCATTTCACATCATTAGTTCGAAGTTATTAAGCCCTTATTTTTACAAACAACTCTATATATTTTCCTAGATGCTGTATTTTACTTGTAGTCATACTTTTGTGGCTTTGCTTCGGGAATAGTTATATTCATGTTTTGCTTCAGAGCACATTATAACATGACTCTGTAGACTTACATGGGATTTGGAGAGGAGAGAATAGCCACCCTAAATGTTCTTCTTAGGATTTGGATGAGACACAAGCATTAACATGAATTCTGTTCTCCTCCAATCCTGCAAGCAATTCTGCATGAAACCAATGTATTTAGCTTGCTACTGTTTGAACAAAAAGGAAGGTTAATCAAAGAATTTGGGCATAGTTGTATACTTTTTAAATGTATTTATTATTTTATTGGGTCTTTTAGGGATTTTTAAGAAGGTCTGAACATTAGTGAATGGCCATTCTGTGTTGTTTCAAATCTGCATTTGTTCAGCTGAAGAGGCACAGATTTTGTACTAAGTGTGCTACAGTTGTCAACTTCAAGATGTTTTTCAAATTCTAAGTGTTGAGCACTTGATGTTTGTTGCCGTGGGACCCCTGCTGATTCGATGTCCTCAGTCTCCATCACAGAAAATTGCTATGCAGAGCTGCATCCAGTAGAACTTGAAATTTGGAAGCCCCTTGAACTTGCTGGCAACTATGTAGGGAACAAAGAAGAAACTTGGAAGCAGAGGAAATTAGCAGACAAAAGGAGTTACAAAGAGGAATTTAAGAAGGGGAACAACACGAAAAAATATCCCTTCCCAGAACACAATGTTTTGTGAACTGCTTGCATTATTGTGAATTCAGTGCCAAAATATTTTTGCTTGAATTTTCTCAAATATTTCTGCATAAAAAGACAGGAGGAAATGTTTAAATCCTGTACTTTGGCAACCATTCATGAGCCAGATAAGAGTGTTGGCTTTTCTTCAGGCAGAGGCTACCACCAGCATGTGTCCATAGTTGTCAGGAAGGATAAATTTTATTTAAAAAATGCTTCTGCAGCAGTGGAAAATTACCAGACTAGTTGTGTCGAGCAAAAAGGTCTGCTGTGTCAGAGTCTTCTTAGTTCTTACTTGTGATGCACAAACTTACCCCAAATGAATTATGTTCTCTCAGAGAGTAAGACATTCATCTGTGTAATCTGCTGCAGGAGTTCTTTTACTGAAGCTCTTGTTCTCCATATAGAATTGTTTTTTGCACAATATGAAACTGTATCCTGGAAACTGCAGTTCAGAACTGTGTAATGCATCATGATGTTGTGCAACACAATATTATGTAGACCTCCTTGAGTGGTGACTTGTTGCCAATTGATGTATGGGGAAGAGATATATGGATCAGGTGAGATGTAATAGAACCTGCACAGCTCTTTCTCTGAACATACTTAGTTTGGAGAAACAGTTCAAATGCCAAGCTTTTTCTTAAGCGTTAAAATGACATCACATTTTCTTCTGTAAGAAAAGGATTAAACCAGCTCACTGCATAGAAGAATGCCATTGCTTAGATACAGAATATGCATACTCTGTAGTTTTCAATCTATTCCAAAACTAGCAACAAAGTTGAACATGATCTAAATTTGCTACAAAAGTATTATGAACCCATGAGCACTTATAACATTGCAGGACATCACTTCTCTTATATCTTAAGATAACAGGCAAGTCTTTAGGTGGTAACACAGGAAGAAACATGGTTGATGACTAGTGAAGCTTTGTTCAAATTACTAAGCTACTTTTTTTAAAGGGAGGAAGAACATGTTGACAAGTTTCTTGGGCCAGACAGGAAAAATAATGGCAATACTTAATCTCAACTCATACTTTGCTTCAGCATTGTGGTTTTACATTACAGCATTTAATGGTATGGGGAGTTCTTAATTCATGGCTAATGATACCATGGTGTAATGAGCTCAATAATCTTTCCTGTAATCAAGTTTTTGCATCATATGCACGGGCTGTTGTTTCAAACCATATTTTATTACTGTAGTTGTACATTGCTAACTATGGATTCCTTAGAAATGATCACTAGTTTTTTGATAGTCAGTGAGACACCATAAAAATGGGGAAATTATTAGAGAAGGCTAGCTTGTGAATTTCATCTTTAGTTTCCCTTTTAGTTATTAGGGTATTCCTAAGATTCAGATAAGACTTGATTTACAAAAGCCATTGTGCTGAATTTGTCAACATACTTAGAAGAACTGGGCCTATTCAGAATAATCAATAAACACCACTGGTGCTCTATGGACATTACCATCTTGGATTATTCAAGCTTTACGCCTGAAGTTTGAATGGAAATTGCTTTGGTCACCCTTTGGGATGACCCATGCCAAGAGTGGGACAGGGAGTGTGCGCCTGTTAATTCTTTGGACATCTTGGTGCCCATTAACCATGGCAACCTTCTGGATAGGCTCTGTGGACTCAGTCCTGAAGGCAACATGTTGTGGTGGTTCAATTTGTATTTGGATGGCTAATTCCCGAAGGTGGGGCTGCAGAATTATTGCTCTATGTGTTAGCAGTTATACTTTGGGATCCCACAGGTCTGTAATCTATCTTCGTGCTATTGAATATCTTCATGAAATAGCTGGGGTGGGTTATTTGGATACGCGGACTGAGAGGTCACTATTGTATGGATAGCACCCAGCTCTTTTGCCTTTTAATAAAATGTATCCTGAATCAGCGCATAAGTCCAGTAACCGACCAAATGAGGGCCAATACACTGAGTCAATGGAAGTGCTCTTGATGGGCAGTCCATCTAGCCACAAGTTCTGGAGGAGATTGCAATTCCCCTAAACAGTTAACTTTATATTTTGGGGATGTTCTTGAATATGGCACAGGCACTAGAGCATTTTCATTAGCTTAGACTGCTACAGCCAGCTAAGACCCTATCTGAACAGAGATAGCCTAAATGGGACAGTTATTTTTGTTCTATTAACCTTTCATCTGGATTAGGACAGTGCATTTATACATAGACATGCATCTGAAATTCCAGCAGTATGATTGTTAAAGGATGCTGATCAGTACTATCCTATTACAGTAATGCTCTGTGATCCATGTTGGCTTCCAGTCCATTTGATGGCCCAGTTCAAAGTGCTGCTACTACTAACTCCAGTGTGAAAAAGCCTGGGGACAAGTTACCTGAAGGATTGCCTCTTTCCATATAATGGGCCATTCTTAAGAATTACTGTGAAATTTGGAACAATATAACTGTCAGTTTTAACAGAATGCAAACATTTTAAATTTCAGCTCCTTTCCTTGAACTGCAAACATAAGTAAATCTGTCCACATGAATAATACTCTGTGGTTGCTCTTTTTATATTAATAAACAAAATGCTGTTTGGAGCAATGCCAAAGCATGCCTGAGATATAAAATAAGTAAACTAGAATTTGGTAATCCATGCATTTTATTTGTGAACAGATGCAGAATCTCTAACTGGGAACAGGGAAAAGGAATCGGGGAAGCACACAGCATGGGTAGATTCCAGGATCTGTCCTTACTGTTTCAAAACAATTTTGAATCACAAATATATTTTCTGCTTAACTGTCATTTATCATTTTTTGTGCCTGCATGTATGGGGTTACATCTGAATGGCTGTAAGGAACACTTACTGTCAATCAAAAGCAAACCATTTACTCAGTTTCTTTGCAGAACTATCACCTCTTTTTCCATGTTTGAAAGATACTCTCTTGCTTGGGGCTTCAAGACCAAAGAAAAACTTTTTATTTGCTTTTTCTTGTAAAATCTTTTCAGGTAAGGAGATGGTGCATTTTCTTCCCAGGCTATAACCAGGGCCAAGGAATTCAGCAAGAGGTAAGAACCTAGGCAGCTAAAATGCTGGTCCCCAGCTAAGGGTGAATGTGACTGGAAACAAGATGTGATTTACTTGCTTTTGCTCTCTGTAGCATCATCTGCTCAGCTTATCACCTCATATTTCACAAGGTGAACATTCAGGAGTGGGGAATTTGAAATGAAGGCTTGATTAGGCCCATGGACTGGGGCTCCAGTTTTCTAGTTTACATTAAGGTTTTGTAGGATTCGTCTAGTGGGAAAGTAGTTCAATAGTGATTAACTGCATCAATTCCTATTGGTCAAACTTGACAAAATATTGAAGACTAGTGATCATATCTCCCATTTCTTTAAATTTATTTTAAATTGTATTGGAACTACTGGTGCTATGGAAAGTGTGATGTAATTTTTAAAATATGTAAATCCCTCCTCCCACCTGCACAGGTTGCCTATTTAGGGAAGTGTGTCTATGTTTTTCAAAACCAGGCAAGTAGCATCTCTGTGTGGTGGGGTCAAAGATTTCATGCAACTGGCCCTGGAACAAGTTGTAAGAGAATGTTTATTCTCCCCTTCACATGGAACTGTGATCCTAATGCATTCCTCCTTCATCAGTCCACTTTATAATGCACTTTAAAAGATGGGGAATCCAAAAGATAGAAGAGGGTGCTTTCCACAGTGAACACACAGAACAAGGAACTTTTTGCCCTGGCTGGTTTGGGTTGTCCTCCATTTTTCCAGGGCTCCACTCCCAGCATATGAAAACACTATTCTTCCAACAAGCTTGTCTGCTTCTGCTGTAATAAACAACTGAGGGACACTCTGTCACTGGGTTGTTTACATGATATTTGAAACTCTGAGTTGTTGGACGACAAACAAGGTAGAGTCTGAATTCACAGGCCATGCACAAACCAGGTCTATATGAAAAAATGATCTTCCTGGTAAAACAAAGGGTTTGTGGAATCATACAAAATCGTCATACAAAACACAAGAGAGGAAGGCAAACCATGCTTTATTGAGTAAAACATTCCATCAATTGGGTACAACCAATAAGGAGGTCTTTTCTCTTGTTTCCTTCAACCAGCCTTCCACCACAGTCAAGACATACTGAAGGGCATCTCCAATAGAGGCAAGCAGGCTAGTATGGGAAGAAGCACTCCCTAAGATAGGAATGTAGAACATTTGGCCCTGCAATGTTACTGGAGTTCAACTTCTGTCATCTCTCACCTTTGCCTAACTCGGCTGCAGCTGATGAGTATTGCCATCCAGCAACATTAGAAGCCATGCTTTCCTTAAGGCACTCTTTCTTAAGGTACCTCGAACTCCAGTAGCTGAAGGCTTTAAGGAGAATTACCAATGCTTTCAATTGTGCTCAAGAACAGAATGGTAAAGTGCAGATGCTGCAGGACAGCTGTGATTTCCAATGCCTACTAATAAAAATATGGCCACATTACTGACAACTGAAATTTCTGAAGACTCTTTGAAAGATGTCTGACACCTACAGTGAGTAGACGTTCATTTATTTGTTTGGATGCTCCAAACCTTTCTACCTTGAAGTATAAAAGCTTTTAAGTTGTTTTATAATGTATGATATTAAAACTGGATTATTGGAATAATTGCCTTTGAAGAGTCTTTGGAAAGTTCAATTGGTCAGACAACATTCAAAGTGAGGTGAGATAAATTAGGGCAACATTTAAGGCAATTTCACAAGACAAAACAAGTAGATCCACCATTTACATTTATTGGGATTGAAAAGGGCAGTTATTCTTGGAGCACTTTCCAGGGTCATGGGGGCACCGACTCTTCACATGACTGTGAAGGCTGGCAAATGAGGCCTGTGGGCACAGAAATAGCAGAGAAGGAAGAGCTTATTTCAAGGTTTCCATCTCCAGGTGTTCAGGCAGACCTTGTGAACCCTGAGGGATTGGAAGTGCTGGAAGGGGACATGAAAGAGGGCCAAAGCCTCCATGGTGCTGTCCTGAGTTTCTTGAGGTCCGAATGACAGATCCATCCATTGTGTTGCAAGGTAAGTGCTGGGAGTATTTCCAGTTCAGACTGGGGAAGTGGGTAAACCATGGCCAACATGGCCAGCAGAGGTTAAGAGGATGGAGTTGGCATTGTCACCTTCAATTTTCACCATTGTCTTTGTGGGGATAAAGATTGGTAGGAATGCATAAAGAAGGCAAGTGCCTTGGTGTGGAAGAAAGGTATCCATGAGAAATCATCATTCCCAACCTTCCCTGCTTCATAAATGTGGGCACACCTTATTATAACTCTTAGCAAAGAAATCTATTTCTGGAGTTCCCTACTTCTGAAAAATAGACCACAGAAAGGTGTGATGCAGTTCCTACTCAAAGAAGCATAAAGATGTCTTTTGGTATCTGTGTTGTATGGTAATGTGGAAGGAGGCTTGATTGACTGATTGACTGATTGATTACTGCAAACTAGACCCCTTTCCTCAGTAAGGGAAGAACCACTGTCAGAGTAATCTTCAGGGACTTCTTTGGTGTGATGAAGAAGTTGAACTCCCAAAGATTCAGAACTGGATGAATTCCCCTATTCTTTTCAGCACTGTAGAAAACAGGAATAGAATCCACTGCAAAATTGATGCTGCAAGACATGTTGGATTTCTCCTTTCTCTAGGAAAGAGGATATCTCTTGCTAGCATTTGTGATGGTCCCATAATGGTGCACATTGCCTAAAGGTGGGAGGAAATCAGATTCTATTCTGTAGCTCAGGAAACCATTGATAGGGGCCATGAATCTGATATGATCTTCACATTCAATGAATTGAATCCACGTCTCAATGAATTGCGAGAATCAGGTACTGAAAGTGGTAAGAAGTGGAAAAGGGTGGCTTGTAGACAGTTAAAAATGCTGTTTTCCTCTTGTGTCTCTTTTTCCGTTTGTCACATGAAAATGTGTGCAAGGGTATTGGCATTTCCCAGACAATGAAGCTTGCTATTTGAAGGAATAATCACCATGTCTGTGTGCCCAGGAATATTAGCTTGATCAGCACTAATGGCAGTTGCATTGGTGCTCAGCCCACCCCCATTCTTTTAGCCTTAGTCTTAGCCTTTTGGACTGAATCCATCACTTCATTGGTCTTAGCATGGACAAATCCTATTCCATCAAAAGTGCAGGAACAAGCCTCAGGAGTCATCCTGCCGGAGTGGAACTAAGTAGGTTGTCTTCATGCTATTGATCCCACTGTGGCCTTCATATTGCAGGTGGTCTGATAATGAGATGTGTTGATTTGTTGAAGAGAGGTAGGCAGGTTTGACTTGAAAAATGCATGCCAGTTCATGTTGGTCATCAGGTAAGTAATCATACAAGGACCTGATTGTCTTGCAGAGGTACTAGTACTGGCTCATAGCAGCTTGATAGTTCAAGACTTGAATAATGTCTTACCGCATGACATTCAGTTTGTAACCTTCCTTATCTAATAGGGAGGAAAGTGGTTTGTGTCAACTACCCTGCAAAGACTCAATGATAATTGAAAGGTGCTCCTGCCTCCTGTACATGATGTTTTCCGAGCACTTTGATGCTGGAGGCATTGAAGAAGGGATCTTCCACAATTGTTTGAAGTGATGTTGGTAAAAGGGGGGTAGACACTGGCATCAAGCATTCAGCATATCTTTCACCCTTTCTACCAGTTGGTGTGTTCTCAGGATTTGTTTGTGTCCAAGTTATTCAAAAAGAGACAAAATGTCTTGAATGTCCATAGCAGCATCCTTTATTCCCTACTTGGAGAAATCATCCGAGGAAGTGGATCCCAGCCAGTGCAAAATAGGAAGCTGACAGTCTTCCATTAGAAGGCCAGCAGTCCTCCTGGGCTGTTTCTGGACTTTCTCAAGGGCAGGAGACAGAGCTGGAGGGAATTTTTTTTCAAAACAGAGAGCAGGATTATGTGGAGGCATCAGGTTTTCAAACAGAAGGCAAGTGTGGGTGCTTCCTTAAAAGAAACACACTGACCTAATTAGGTAGCTTTACTCAGTTGTAGCCAGCTATAAATTATCTCAGCTGGAGACTGCTGTTTGCTGTGGACAACTGCGTAGCTTCAGTGTTTGTTGGATGTTTCAGATTAAACAGATATCTTGATCTTCAGTAATGCCTTGGGTCTCTCTTTCAGACACCCCTACCTGGCTTGGACACTTGGCAGAATGAACTCTATGGTCTCGATTACTCCCTTTGATGGTATTATTGCCTGAACTTGGCTCCTGGGAGCTCAAGAGTAGAGAACATCAGGAGATGGAGCTGAAGGGCCCACTGAGGCTCAAAGACCTTATTTCAGTGCTGGCTTGGCAGTGGGCACAGGTGGCTCCAATGTGTCCCTCAGCAAAGCTGATGAGGCAAAGGGAGTGCCCATGAGTAGGTGCCACATTGAACATACTTGAGGAATGGGGCTTTCAAGGCCATGCACTGGGCTGTGGTTAGGCAATCCTGCGATTGTGACAAGAAGAGAAACTGTGCCTTTTCCTTTCTTTCAAGAACAGAAAAACAAAACAGAGCAAAAACCTTTAGCTAAAGATCCATTTGAAAGGACATACAAGGAATAAGTATGTTGAGATGGTAGGGGAGGGGCTCCATTTAAACTCTTCAGCTGTGCAGGTTCTCCGAATTGGAGCTCCATGAAGGCACAGAGCCCACATGTGTGACCCAGAGACCATGAAGAACAGTGAGCTTTGTTCCTGCTAAAGAACTTGTGACAGTCAAAGCACAGAAAGTTTTTAAACCAGTGAACTCAATATTAGTATTAACAAATAATGTTCATTAAATGTCTATTAGGTGATGTATGTGTGTAATCAGGGTAATCAGTTGGAGTGAGGGCTAAAGTGGTGCTGGATTTTGTTTTCTGTACTTGGTGCCTTTCTAACATGTTCTGTGTAATCAGATCAGGGTCATTAGCTGCGCCTGTTTGGAACCAACCCTTCCATCTATAACTATAGATGTTTAATATACACTATACAAAGTTGTTCAGAAAGTTGGCTTTTAATTGCTACATTCATGACTTATGGCAAATGAATAGACACAGTGAGATCATGCTATTTCAGAGGTTTTCAAATCATTATGAGGATGCTTGGCTTAGTGCCATTCACATTAGATCTATTGCATTATAGACTCTAAATTGTCTACTGTAAAAACATTTTTCCTCCCAGACATTTCAGTTCAATTAATTTTTCTTCTCCAATATTCTTATAACTTGTGCCAGTTGGTGTCACTTTAGTTTACAAAAGCATTGTGAATGAGAATGCTGCCGTTTAAGAAACTATCTTTCTCCTACTCATGAATTAAATTGTAAGATTGCTTGAGCATTAAGCAAAATCAGGGTTCTGCATATGGTACACTATAGTTAAACATTAAATAATCCAGATAATAGAAATCATAGATCTTTTGCCTCTCTATGGCAGGAATCTCTGCAAGATACTGTCTCACAACTTCTGAATTTGTTCTTTTGTCAGTAGAATGTCTGTCTTTGAAACTGGGAAAGGTCAGTCCCTTTGGAGCACCTATTAGTTGTAAAAAGTAATTGGCATCTTCCTCCAAAGTTTCAAATTTATAAATGAAATCATAGTTGATAATGCAAGGATAACAAAGCTTGTTGATCTGCTCCCAGTGAGTGTCCATACCTACAGGTCGATGGGGGTCTAGTAAATACTGGATGAACTCATAAAACTTCACCCCTGAGCCTGTTATTAATGCCTCCCTATCTGCATCGGGTCTGTATTTCTTAATAATGGACTTGCCAAACACAGGATGGTAGTAGCTGTTTGGATGCTCAAACTTATCTCTAAAAGCAGATACTAATCTTTCCATAGGATCTCGTACAGATATAACTTTAGTGTATGTCTTTAAACGGGTATGTATCCCTTTTAGATTATAGCTGTCCAGTTTCCTCAGATGTTTTCCATAGTGCACAGCATCATGAGTAATATTAGCAGTAGATTTGGCAAGACCACTGAGTACCATCAGGACCCTTTTCCAATTGGAACAGCCTGCTTTGGGGACTTCACAATACAAGATTTTATGTTTATCTTCCACATATATTCTGGACACCATACGCAAAAGATGAGTCCAGTGTCTGTTTTCATGAACATTTTTTGCACAGAAATCAAAAAGTACAGATCTTCGCTTCTTCTGCATCTCGTCTGTAGTTTTCCAGCTATCATTCTTGATAAAACTTAAGTTCAAAGGATGAATGGCTTGTGATAAATTCACTTGCTTGAATTGTTTAAGAAGCAATTTGATTTTTTGCAGCTCTTCTGATAATCCTGTAGTTAAGGAAGCTGCCATCTCTAGAACAGGCTCAGCTTTTCCCTGAGTACGACCATCCTCAAAAATAACTTTACTTGGTTTGTGAAAATTTGCTGAAGTATTCCAGTGTTGGAGGTTTCTTTTATGTTCCTCTGTAGGATTGTATCTGAAATCCTGTTGAAAACAGAAGGTTTAGAATGTCTCTACAGAGACTGTGTATAGCTAGCTTCTCAGACAGAAAGAAGTTATCAAGATATGGAAATATTTTATATTGTCTTGCTTTGCCACAAAAGAAATTTCAAATTGCAGCTAAAATGGAATTCTGACAGTAGGAAGCTCATCTTCAACACCAACAGAACCATATGACTACCAGAAATTATAATTTTATTTAACTTTGAGGGTAATACAGGTAACTCCTGTCCTGTAATACTGGCTAAGGATCCATGAGAAAAAAACAGCCACTCATGAGAGAAATACAAAATGTAAAGTTAAAGTTGCTGCACAAAATATAGTGGATCCTACTTAAAACTTAATGGAAATATAGTAGATTCCACTTAAGCGCTCACATATAAAGACTAAATTATTTCTCTTGCCACTGTCCAGTAACATAAAGGCAAGTATAAAAACTGGTCAAGTTAAAAAGCATTTATGTTAAGCAAATGTGAAATGAAATGCCTATGATATTTCCAAACACTCCATTTTTAATAGGGTTATGTTTAATAAAATAATGAATTATATAAATGCCTTTTGTGACGAAAAAGTGCTCTACACAAAAGGTGCCTGAGTTTTAAGGATGATTCTCATCTCGTGATCATAGGGATTTATAATGCAAGTGAACAGATCATTACTGCCACATGTCTATGCCACAGAACCTAGTGCAGCACATGCAGCAGAATGTATCTTTCCTCTGATGCGGGGTGCAGAATCTCTTTCAAACTGAGTAACAAATTCTACTCCAGAGAAACTCTCAGGGGTCAGATTCCACTGGTGGGCCAAAGGCAAAAGGGCCAAAGGCAAATGGGGCATGGATGCAAATAGCATGGAACTGCAACTTAGAGCTCCTACTCCCCAAAACTAAGCCATAGGAGAAGTGTTTAAACCTTTCTGAATGGGGAACACAATAGCCAGGAAACCACCAAGGAATGGATGGTTGGGAAAAGGGGCATGGCCTTCTAGGCTAGACAGGAATCCTTAGAGGGGGTTCCTGGCCTGTGGTGTACCTTTGCTATGGTGTTTCCATTATACATATCTGAAAGCATCTTGTGAGATCAAAACCAGGCATTATTTGAAATACACAGCTACCAACTGTCTCTTTATTTTATTTCTAAAGTGCAGGTGAGGGGTGGCTAATCTGATTGAGCTTTAGACCTTTCCCTGACTGCTAATCCTCCAGCCTGTGTAGCAAAGTGTAGCTTCACACTGAGAGGTCGTACTCAGTAGTGAAGGGATGGCAATGCATACAGAATGTACAAACTTAGCTCTGCGCAGGATCTTTCTAGAAACATTTCTGCATTGGCAGCTTCTAGCTTCAGAATGTAAGCAAGCATGCTTGGCCTAACTTTGCCTGCAGTTGCTGCTACAGGGTTAATGGAGCAGGAAAACCTTATTCACTTTTTGATCAGTATTCCAAGCTTCATCAAACCAATGAAAGATTGCCTTCTGTGACAAGCCTGGATAAAGCACATCAGTGCATTTCACCAATATTTGAAAGAAATATACAGGCGTCTTAAAATTGGTGACATATGTCAATTTTTATCACTTTTTAATTTCAGGGAACTTGGGCAAATGGATCAAATCATTTTGAAATGTTGCACA